GTTCCATTTTTTAAACAATTTGAACAGAAAACAAATTGGAATCTGTTCAAATGTATGCTTTGAAAAAATAAATTTGTCTATATTGTGTGATTAAAATCATGAAATTTCAGGGAATTTTGGGTTTGTAATTTTGATTTTTCAGTCACTGAGTATCACAAAGTTATGTTATCACTGGATAGTCTCAACATTTGGCTATTGTTTGGTCGTAAATTTTGATGTTGAAACTTGAAACTGAGTTTTTATAGTTGCGATTTTTGGAATTCGAAGTTGTTTCGGGGAAAAAAATTGAAATTTTGTTAGTGGAAGTCTCAAAAACACGCAAAGTTGTGATTTTTGGGGAAAATATTGAAGTTTTGTGGGTGGAAGTCCCAAAAACCCAAAATCTGGCAAAGTTGTGATTTTTTTAATTTGAAGTTATTTTGAAAAAATGATTTGATGTTTTGTGAGTGAAAGTCGAGAAAATCTAAAAGTTGGTCTGAGTTCTTTTGGGGGAATTGGAAGATCAAATTTCATGATCAGACAGATATTTGAAGTTAAATTTTCAAAATCTATGATCAAACGCTAGCTTGAAGTTGGTGAATAACTAAATGGCACACTTTGACTAGAACCTATATTTTAGTATATTCTTGAAAAAAATTCTCGTAAAGTAATTTTCGATCTTTTTAGGTAGTTGTAGCAGTGTAGTTGTGTAATCTCACACTGATTTTTACTGACTTTTCTTGTTTGTCAACCAGGATATGGACCTTGACAACATAAAATCAAACCTTCTTGCTTTAAGGCAATTGTATGGTCTATTGCGAAATGACAGAGACGGTGTTTCAAACTTGAACTCTGATGGTGTAAGTTTCTTATTTGTGCTTATTTATATGGCCATACTCGTAATAGGCTTAAGTCGACAAGGGTCTACTGGACCTATGAGGTAGAGGTAAAGTTTGCATACATTCTCTAGACGCACTTTGTGGGACTACACTGACTATGTTGTTGTTGTACTCGTAATAGGCTTTAGTTTGTATGAGGGCTAATGGTGGGACTTACGAGTCAAATGGAGGTTCAATAATTTAAATTCCTACCATAGCTTTGTTTTTTTGTTTGCTTTGTGGATTTCAGTTTCTTGGTTTTGGGGGAGAAGGGGTTTAAAGGGGTTGAGATGAAAAAAGTTTGATGTTATGAACTTCGTTTGGCCTTAAGCTTTTATTACTGTGACAAAGTAATTACTTTTACCTTGTCTTTGGCTTCACTAATGTCGTGGAGCAACAATAAAATTGTCTATGTGTGACCTAAATGTCATATGTTCGAGCACTGGAATCGGTCATTGATGGTTGTGTTAGGGGTAGGTTGTGTACATCATACTCTTGAGTTGCAGCATTTCCACGTAGCCTGCATGAACGCAGGTTGTTTTGTGCACCGGGCTGTTCTTTTTTTAGAAGAAGCATACCAGGGTGGTTGGGATTATATTTAAGTGGTAGACTGGCCAAATTTTCTTTTCTAAATTTAGGTGGTGTTGTGTTCTATGTCTGGTATCTGGCCTGTTTGATGGTCGGGATAGCAATCTTGGAGTAATATATCTCCTTTGTTTCATCTTATATACGCCTGTCTAGGACTCTTAACGCCTATTTCCGACAGTATTTGTTTTTTTTCTTCAAACAGTTGGACCATGAAGCGCGACTCATGTTAAAGAATTTACTCGATACAACAACGAATGATGTTCTTAAGGCTCATTCTGAGGTACATGTCTGGTTCTTTTTATCTCTTGTGCAATAAAATTGGCCTTTTGTTAGTAATACCAGTGGTAAAAAATTTCTCTGCTTACTGAGGGAACTTTTATTGTTAGATCTTCGTTATTTAGACTTATCGTATCGTTCCTACTGCCCACAGATCATAGCACATCAGGCGCATGTGCACAACTTACCTCAGCCTCAACATCTGGTTGACATGGTGAAGCAACGTCCTCTTGCTTTATTAGACATGTCAAAATCTTCAGCTGTTATTCAAAGTTGTGGAAATGAGCCAGTTGTCATGGAGGAATCCACCTTATCGAAAGAGAAGCAGGAATCTATCGTTCCAGTTACTCAGACAGCTGGTGTGCAGCGTCCAAAATTTAGATTCAGTGCAAGTGAAACTGGAAAGAAAAGAAAGTTTTGCAGAATCTGTCAGCGCCCAAAATTTGAAAAGCCATTTGTTCCTTGTATAAACACTAAATCTTCTGAAATAGAAGCTTCACATTCTACAAAGGCCGTGGCGTTGCAAGAACAGCAGAATAGTCTATTCGGCAGTTTTTCTCGGGATATTCAACAAGAAGCATTGCAATCAGTAAGCACTGAAAGTAGAAAGCCGAAAGAAGTGCTCGATCTCCATTGCATATCAAGCGGTGCAGAAACTGTGGCTTCCTTATCAGACAGACCAGCTAATGATCTTACACAATCCGTGCATAACTTTTCTGGTCTGATAAGATCGGTACCTGATCAGAACCATGATCATCTCTCAACCGATGATGTCATTAAACAACTCGAATTGCGCATTTCAGCTTTGCAGATGGATGCTGAGGACCTTGTTCTTGCTGATAGACATGCAGCTGACCATAACTTCAAACCGATAACTAACTTTGTGCCACAAGTAGAGTTAGCTAGTCCCATCAAGAAGATAGAGGGAGTTGTCGTGAATGATAAACTTGACTCACTACAGCTAGTGATTACTCAATACAGTCAAGAACCTAAAGGCGCATCAAGTTCATTGTATCCGGGATATACTATTCCATCAATCAGAATATCAAATATTTCAGCAGATCAATCGCCGCCTCCTGAGTCAAGTAGTTTCCAGTCAAATCAGTTGAGACAACAACAGATAGTAGCAAGCATTGTCCCTGCTGAGCATTGTGATATGTCTACAGAGCTAGACTTAGTTGAAGAGCATCCGTGGCAGACACAGAGAGGAAACATAATTAATAATCAGAGCATCCAGTCCGTTGTTGACAAATTTGAGCCGTTGGGGCAATTAAAGAATCAAAATAATAGTACTTCAAGACAGAATCCTTATGCTGCTTTGCCTGCGATGTTGGTCAACGAGAACCTGAACCAAAACCAAATGCCTTCAAACGAGAAAATTGGGCAGCTAGGAAAATTGAATGTCAGGCTGCCTGCAGCAGATATTTCGAGAAACAACATAGGCACTAGCAAGCTAACTCGGTCCGGTACTAATGAGAGCAGAATGGATTCACCTTATTCAGAGCATTCAATAATGAGGCGATCAGCATTGAATCACAAGTTAGGTCAATTCAAACCATCCAGGAGCTCTTATGCAAACTTGGACCAGAATTCTAGTAAATATCCGAAGAATAGGAATCGCATGAAACAACTGAGAAGAAGGCATTTGCATGAACAGGAATCAGAGGTTTCACATTCAAGCTCACCCTACTCTTCCAGCTCGACAGATTTGCAGCAGACAAGCACTTACAGTAGTGACAAAGATGATTCCTTGCCAAGGCAGGCTCTATCCAAGACACAGTATTCAGATGAAACAAGCAGCTATGGAGAAGATGAATCATATCCTCGAAGAGATAGTAGTCAAACTGATTATACGGTCAGCTCAAGCGGCAGTGGCCGTGAGGGTAACTCATCCCCAATTAGTAGTGAAAGGCCTCATGAAAGCAAGGGGGAGAGATCCTCATCACTTGATCCTTCAGGGTCTGACCATCTTGAAGAACTCTCGTACTACTCAGCAGATTCTTCATCAAGGAGGTCAAGTCCTGCACGTGCCTACAAGTCTGCTAACTCGAAAAAATCAAAGAAACATAACGGGAGGTGGAAGAAATTGAAAGACAAGCTAGCAATAGTTTTTCACCATCACCACCACCACCATCACCATCATGGTAAGGATGATAAAGCTGAGGAGAAAAAAACATCTTTGTTGAGGCAGAGAGGGAAAAGGTTCCCCAGTCACTATTCATCAAGCAAGGATGAAACATATGGAGAAAAGGCTTTGGAAAAGTTTGGGAAGTCAGCAATCGACAAGCAAGCTGGAAAAAAGCCGAAGGGGGACCAATTCCATACCCTTGCTCGGGGGCTGATGCAACATATCCAGCATTCAAAGAAGTCGAAACATAGCAGCAGTAGACCAGTAGACAAAGAACAACATAGCAATAAGAAGGTGATAAACAAATTTCGTTGGTGGCAACTACTAAGGCATCACAGAGGTATGAATAAATCACCCGCCATGCTAGGATCCGCCAATAAGAAACACCATCAAAAGCTTTTTCCAAGATGAAGTAAGGCATCTGAAATTGCCACTTTGTTTACTTATGAAAAAAGAGAAAGTTCTTGATCTCACACCAATATTGCTGGAAATTCAAAGTGCCAACGACTAATATCACTGTTTATTACTCATTTCAAGGAGCATATTCAGAATTGCTTTTATTAATAAGATTACGACTTGTTTTAACATAGTATTCTATAAAATCTATATAATTTGTTGAAGCATTACACATTGGTACATATCTTAGCACCTAGATAAGGAAAGTAACGTAGTTTCCTTGAAGTTCTGCTACATGGTTTCTTTCCTTCACAGCTTTCTTTTCGTCTAATCTTGAAATGTGCTTGCAATTGTGAATACTTTTGGTTTCTTCTTTCCGTACTCCGTAGTTCTTCCTTTTTTAAAAATACATAGAAAGATCAACTTGGATAAGTTTTTATTAGTGATACCTCCCATGGTAAATGGGGAGATCTGTGAACTTCTTAGCAGAAAAAGGGTGACATACAACGTTTCTTCTTATAGAACTCGCAAGAGTTGTCTAGTTTGACATATCTGTTGGTGTAACTTAGTAATGAACAACAATCACAACTTCTCTGACAAAAGTCTGCTTCTGTAAATGTTCCATAACTACCAAGTTTTTGACTCCATGGTTTCCTTTTGGACATCTAGGATTGAACGTCAAGCCAAGTCCAAGCCAGTTAATATAAACAAAGATAAACAAGAACAAAGCACAAAATGGAAGTTCAAGCACCAAATAAGAGACTGGAATAGCATCTAGTATAACAATCAAAGATAAAACGTTTGCAGAAATCACATGTAACTCAATACTGGATTACAAATCAACATTTGGTTTGAGAATCACTTGTCTCGGCTAGATATGACTATAGCAGATACAACAATCGATGTGTACATGTTGAGGCAGAAATTAAAAATATACCATCAACACTCAAGATTTGTAGATTATAACAAGATGGCACAATACATCATTGAAATATCAAACTCTGAAGGGAGAATTTTTTGACAGCCAAAGCAGTTTGTCTTGCTTGTTGTTTCTCAAGTTTGAGGACACTGCTCATTACATTGCTTGGGTGAAGAAACAGGTTCTTCTCCAAGCACCTTTTCTTCTGTTGCATTGTCAGGAGGAGGAGCTTGTTCTCCATCTTCATTGTTTTCTGGATGGAAATTAATGGGGAATTTTGTGACTCGAGGTTTGTCAACCAAAATATTCCTCTGGATCCTATCAACCAAAACCTTCTGAGGCGGTTCTTCTTTTAGTTGTTCATCATCATAATCATTGTTCACATAGTATCCTACTCGAATAAATTCTTGACCCACGTAAGAGCATGTTAATAGCAATACTGTGACACCAATAATATCTTCTTCACGAATTTTGGATGGTTCAGGGGGATCAGCCTGCAAATTGGTTTCAGCATAAGTCTCAATCTCTAGCACAATTAAGTGAGATTGAAAAGTTAAAAAGAGTATTCGTTACCTGAAGCACAAAACGATATTTCCCAACATTTACAGGTCCAACAAAAACACTTTCTAGTTGTTGGTCATAAGTATCATCCTCAGCAGATCCCACATAAGTCAGCTTCCACTCTAAATCTGAAACAAATGAAATGGTCAGAAGGTAGAGTTGATACTTCTGATTTCTGAAGGGAAATCCTATTTGCGAAATTCACATACTCAACTAATTTAACCTTAAAGAATTTCAATCGTTCAGACGAGATGAACCATGATGCAAGACAGAAAGTTTCAGCAACAACTTAAGTTACATGAAGTCATGAATAGTCTATGACAACTAGGACAAATAAAAGAGCACAAGGAAAAGGAAACTGTTTGAATAGTGACCATAACAAAAAGAAATACAGTTCAAGAAAATTACTGATCCCAAGGGGGTTCTCTTTGGGGATTGCTTAATTTTAGATCCTTTCTAAAAGTCCTAACCAATAACCATTGAGGGTTGAGACAAATCACAAGATGCTGGAAAAATTATAAATAGTTGACACTTAACACAAGGGGGTAATCACTAATCAGAGCATTAGATGATTTATTTATTTTCTTGTAAGGTAAAAGTATTTTATTCATAGATATGGTTGAGCTGGTCGCATATAAAGGATATACCAAAAGGTAAAGAATCTACAAAATCCACCCATTCTTATATACAATAAGGAACTTTAGAGGTGCACCAAAAGAAGATAAGTGAGCAGAGGCTACTCCTCACCTGAGTAAAACTTGACTCTACCCCCTCAAATGCTCTCTTATTTCTCTTTTCTAAATAACCCACATCAGAGCGTTAGATAATAGGAGAAAGTATTAGAGGGAACATTCTTTTGAGTGGGATTCTCAAGATAAAGTAGACTACTCAACTCATGCACTAATGCTTCAGGAAGAGAATGAGTATTGATGCAGGTAGTGTCACAAAAGCTAAAGTAAGATCTTACCAATTTTACTCTAACCTTGTTCCACACAACTATATAAGCTATTCTGATATTTAGAGTTTCGATATAGATTAAGTTGTGGAAGTGGACAAGTCTTTTTGTCTTATTCACATAACTATAGGGAAATATTAGCAACAGGTAACAGAAATGAACCCTTCCCACAACCATTACTTGCAGTATATTCTTGGAAACTGACTTAGAAACAAAAGGATTTCTCAACAAAGCAAGTGAAATTGAGTTCAAAACTGATATGCTATGAGAACAACAACTATATAGCAGCACCTCCACTCAATTTCCTATACAACTTGGAATTCTATAGGTGCACCAAAAGAAGGACCAAAGGCTACTCCTCAGTTGAAAAAAATTCAACTCTACCCACTGTCCCATTTGATTGAGGCCTCGTATTTCATTTACATATCTATTTGTATCTTTTCAGTTACCGGTGCATGCTTGCACAACTACAAAGTGGGATCTGAGAAGGACAAAGTGTGCATAGACTTTATACCTAACTCAGTGATAGAGATGAATCACAATTATTTTTTCTAACATAGCACAAGTAGCAGTGTAATAAACATTTACTTAACTTAATAACATCATTTCATGAAAACTTTAACCCGCTAAAAATAATCAATCAAGTTCCAAAAATTCAATGATAAATAGGAATTGACATCTCGATAATCTCATTTCCTCTTCTCAAATAACAAATTTAAATCACTTCGCAACAGAGAAATAATCAAATTGAATACTTTTCCCTCCTAACTAGGCTCCAAACTTAACAAACCTGCTCTGAATTCTGACTTCGAAAGTTCAACTAAAAACGCATTTACAACTATATCACCGCTGCTACTGCAAACTATTTGCTTAATTTTTCCCCAAAAACAAACAATTTTGACATCAAAAAGGAAATAAAACGACAGAAGAACGAAAATTTTACCGTCTTTAAGAGCATCGAGGCACTCATACGAGATCTCAAACTGGAAAGGACTGAGAAACGGTGCCGGATTATCCAGTACGGCGACGTTCGTAATGTTGACGGCGCTCATCTCTCTAGAAAATTCTCCGAATCTGAAACCCTAATCGAAAACCCGCCAAATCGTACTAGAAAATTGGTATAAATAGCAATTTCAAAAATAGCGGGAGTTTTTTGAATTTTCATAAAAAGCCGCGAAAATATATTAAAATTTTGTTTTAATTATTGCATATATGATATACCTCCCTTTATTTTTTATATTTGTTTTTTCTTAATTATTAAATTTGTTTTATTTAATCCATCAAGTTACTTAACAAATAAAAAGATAAAAATGAAAATAATATACTAGTTTTAAAATTCTACTTCAAAATTATTTTTATTCATATGCAATCTTCTTTCTAATACACACATTATTATAATATGTTAAATTGTATAAATAATTATTTTTTATATTATGGTGTTTATAACTTATAAATCTATCCCACTAATGTAAACATTTGAGAAATTCTACATCTCTTTATGGCTTGAAATAATGTTATTGAATTTTTGTGTTTAAGGGTGTAGCTTAGTAATCAATAAAGTAGATGATTAGTCATAAAGTATTAAATTCAAATATTAGTGAATATAAAAATACGCACATTATTTCTTTTGATATGTCTAAGCTTTAGTGAATAAAGACTAGGGGAAAATAAGCAAATAAACCCATAAAAGTAAAATAATTACAAACATATACCCATTTACATTCATATTCACTAAATAATTACACTATATACCCCTTTACTAATTTCGCTTAACTGATACTAAATCAGTATCATATACTGTATTGGTATCATTAAGGCTGATAATTTCGCTAAATTGATACTAAATCATTATATATATATTGTATTGGTATCATTAAGGTATATCATATATATATACTCTTATAGTATCATTGACAAATGAGTAATTTTTTAACAAGAAATCTTAATGATACCACAATAATATACATATATACTCTTATAATATCATTAACTAATAAGTAATTTCTAAACAAGAAACAATAATGATACCAAGACTATCTGATATTTATGTTGATATAAAATGATAAATATTCGATGAATTTAATTGAAATATACACGAGTTGGGCTAGCCCAGTCTTTTTTCCCACTATATTGAAGTAATTGCAAAAACGAGTGCACCACAGTCAAATTAATATATTTATATTTCTCTAGCATATAAAAATGCCAGTCTTTTTCCACTACATATAAATTGACAAGTCATTGCAAAAGTCAAGTTGACCAAGTCATATACATATATACTAAAATTTTAATAAACATTATAGTGTATCAAGTTCATAATTTTAATTCATTGATAAGAACCTAAAAATTGAACTAGTCATATTAAGATCCTAAATCTGTTTTTGACCATAATATTTGGCTAAATGAACCTAACGATAATCTTACCAAGATGTAATATTATTCGTTTTGAGTCAAACTCGAACGATTTCCCCAACAAGTCTTACATCTTTAAGAATATTGTCATACATTTTATACGTAGTTTCCTTTTCCTTTCAATGTACATGATTTTTTGTTTGCACCCCCCACCTCCCCTTTTAATTATGTGTCACCCCAAATTATTTGAGCATTTATAACCATCTATGTCATACACTTCTCTCTGTGTTGAATAAAGATAGTAAAATGGCCTACTAGTCAGCAAAGACAGCGAGTCGGGCCCCATGCTATTTTCGTACTCGCCTCACTGATTAGTAACTCCAATACAAGTCTCGATACATCCTACATCTTATATTTAGTAGGCGTTTGGCCATGCGATATCATATCACGATATGGTATCGTGAGATGAAATCAGTGTTTGGACATGCGATTTTACGCTGATTTCATCTCATGATTCCATATCATTTATATTTTATTTATGAATAATATATAAATAATTATAAAATTTATATATATGTTTTTTTTGTGCGGTTTGATTATTTTTGAAGGTTATTTTTTAGTAAAATCAAAACCAAATCAAATAGTATCGATTTTCAAAATTTAAAACCAAACCTAACCAAAACCAAATATCAGATTTTTTAAAATCGGTTTGGTTCAGATTACCGTTCGATTTGAGTTTTTAACCATAACCATGAACAACCCTAATGATATACAATACAATCAGAGGCGGAGCTAGGTGGGGGTTCGTGGATTCGGACGAATCCACTAACTTTTTCATAGGCCCTATATTTGTATTGGAAAATTAAATAAATATATATGTATATTAATTTATAAGCCCCCTAAAAAATTGATTGACAACTCAGTGGTAAGGAAGGAGCGATGAAAATATTGTTCACACTAGTATTGTGGATTAAAACCCACTATCAACAAAAGTCTTTGTTTTAAAGAAAACATGTTTTACAATATTTTTCTTTTATGTACTAAAATTTAAACCCCAAACTCTTAATTTTGGGTTTGCCTTTGAATACAATGGTCATATGATCCTGTGGCTATACACCAGCTCCATCGAGTAGATGATCACGTCCAAAACTAATCCCAAAAAGGATAAGCGTTATTTGTAATTATAAAATTCGTTTTTTGTGATTGGAGTCGATCCATGAACTGGCAAAGTTTTTTTTTGGCATAATACATAAATATGACCCTTAACTTGACATCAGCACTGGCAATTATGACCTTTAACTTTGGATGTGCACAAGTAAACACTTAAACTTGTATAAAATTGAACAAATAGACACATCCGTCCTACATGGCACCCTACATGGAGATTGTGTGTCCTACGTGGCGTCCTACATGTATTATGGCATGTAGGACACGTGTGTCTATTTATTCAATTTTATACAAGTTTAAGTGACTACTTGTGCATACTCAAATTTGGAGGGCATAGTTATCCGTTGAACCCAAGTTAATGATCATGTTTATGTATTATGCCGAACTAGTATTATGCCAACTTCACACTTCTTAACTCAAAAATCAAACTTGACATAGTCTACCATTCATATTGAATTCTCTCAACAAACTTCTAATTTTTCTACTACTTCAACACTTAGAACATATATTGAAGATCTTAAAAGCTAAAACCCCTCAAGAAAACAGAACAATAGCACTATACTCAAATAAAAAAAAATGAACTACCATCCCTTTTTGATTCTGCTACTTCTTGTTTTTGTCACCAATCTTGAAGTTGGTTTTCACTAAAACTCATCATTCCAATACAACTTGTTCTGAAAATGACCAAAAAGCTCTGATTGAATTCAAGAATGGCCTAATCGATAACTCGAATCGTTTGTCATCATGGACAGGACAAAATTGTTGCAAATGGGATGGAGTTTTTTGTGATGAGAAAACAGGAAATGTTGTCAAAATTGATTTGCATTACAAGAATTATCTTCTAGATGGTGAATATCCACAAAGGGTGTTAGATAATCACACTAAAAACTTCTTGGGAGGTGAGTTAAGTCCTTCTTTGGTTAAATTGAAACATTTGAGGTACTTAGACTTGAGTCACAACTACTTTTCAAGTATCCAAATTCCACCTTTTTTTGGATTGTTAATGAACTTGAGATTTCTTAATCTTTCCTGTGCTGGTTTTGGTGGATATATTCCCAAAAATCTTGGGAATTTGTCGAAATTAGAACATCTTTATCTTGGTGGATGTTATGGCTACGTTATCGGACCAGGAAATGATCTCAGAGTTGATAGTTTGAGTTGGATATCTAAGTTTTCTTCTTTGAAAAGTTTTGATCTTTCTCAATTGGTTATTGAAGATACTAAAGATCTTTGGAATTCAATTAACATGTTGCCTTCATTGCTTTCATTGAACTTAGAAGGTTGTAATCTCAACATTTTGCCTTCTTTTACACAAGTTAATTTCACATCTCTTAGTTCACTCAATATCCGTGATAACGCGATTGGAATGAGCTTTGAGAATTCCTCCATCATCCCTCCATGGTTTTCTAATCTTACAAGGCTTATGAATCTTGATCTTGGTCAAAACAAGTTTGATGATCCAACTAATGTTCTTGAGAAGCTTAGTTCACTAAGAGTATTAGATGTTTCTAATAATGGATTTGGCGATTCGTTGTTGAGTTCATTGAGTAAGTTGAACAACTTGGTTTATTTGGATTTGCTAGGGAATGACATCCACTTCTCTAGTCTCCATTTACTTGGAAATCTGACTTCACTTTCTGTACTTAAGTTGAGATATAACGTGTTAAAAGGGCTGATCCCGGAGGGTTTAACGAGCATTTTCTGTCGATTGAGTGTGCTTGATTTGTCAGACAATGAAATCAGTGGACTGCTTCCAACTTTTATAAGAGATCCATCGAGCTGTCTCGATAATCGTTTGAAGGAGCTATACTTAGGAAATACAAAATTCAGTGACTTCTTTCCTGAAGGATTGACAATGCACAAGAATCTTGAAGTTATTGACAGTACTAATAGCTTATTATATGGTGAAATTCCATATTCAATAAGCAAGCTGTCAAATTTGAGGTTTCTAAGGATATCAAACAACAAGTTGAATGGGAGCATTCCTTCGAGTATTGGACAGTTATCGAATCTTGAAGAGCTAGATATCTCTGAGAACTTATTCACCAGTATAGTTTCTGAACTCCACTTTGTAAAACTAAGCAAATTGATGAAATTGCACTTGTCTAAAAACGAAAACTTGGTTTTGAATGTGAGTTCCAATTGGTATCCAACTTTCCAAGTCAAAGAGATTGGAATGGCATCAGTAAAAGTAGGGCCTAATTTTCCTCAATGGCTACAAAAACTGTCAATTCTTGATACTCTTATTATGTCTGATGCTAATATTACTGATATGATCCCGAATTGGTTGAGCAATATAACATTGTTCATGACAACTCTGGATCTCTCTGTTAACACATTAGTCGGTGGTATAAGCGTGTTGTGTGATGCTCAACTTTTGGAATCAATTGATCTTTCCAAGAATCTGTTATCCGGACGAATCCCTTCATGTTTGAGTAACTTGGAAGAGTTGAGATCATTAAATCTGGCTGACAATAGTCTTGAAGGTGAAATCCCAAGTTCTTTAGGTGATTTGACACTAAGGTTTTTGCATTTGCAAAAGAACAACTTACAAGGTAAAATCCCTTTGTCTTTTCAAAATTTGACATGGTTAGAAAGACTTGACTTAGGAGAAAACAAGTTGAAGGATGTTTTTCCTACATGGATTGGCGAAAAGCTACAGAGTTTGGAACTCTTGAGGCTAAATTCAAATCAATTTTACGGTGTTATCCCATTAGAACTATGTCAAATCTCATCTCTATGTTGGTTAAATCTTGCTGGTAATAACTTGTATGGAACTATTCCGAGTTGTTTTGGAAACTTTTCGTGTGGTAGTATTAGTGGACCTGGTGAAGTATTTGGACAAAGAGTTGAAAGTTTTATGAAAGGAATACCACTTGAGTATGTTGGTGAACAAATTTTGTTACTTAGAATTTTGGATCTTTCTGAAAATAAACTTGTTGGAGGTATCCCCAAGGAGTTAACAAAATTGGTATACTTGCAATACTTGAATTTGTCTAGAAATAGTCTTAATGGGAGCATACCAAAAAAGATAGGTGATTTGAAGCAATTGGAGTCACTTGATTTGTCACATAACAAACTTTCTGGTTCAATTCCTCAAAGTTTAGCTTCTTTGAATTATTTGAGCTACATGAACTTGTCATATAACGATTTTTCGGGTCCAATTCCTACTGGAAATCAGCTCCAATCTTTGGATGATCAATCATTTTATGTTGGTAATCCTAGACTTTGTGGAATATTGATCAAGAAAAGTTGCAATGGCAATGGAACATCAAATGTAAATGAACAAACTCCTCAAGGTGGTGATCATGATCAAGATGTTGATGAACATAAGTGGTTTTATGCTGGAATTGCACCTGGTTTTTGTGTTGGCTTCTTGGGTGTCCTCTTCATTTTGTACAAGACAAGGAATCGTGGCCTGGTGCAGGTTTTCCAATGCTTGGCTCGACGTCTATGACAAGTCATGTATGTACTCCTATGAGAGGTTGTCTGGTTGACAGTTGACACACAAGTTATGCAGAGATTAGAGTGTCAGAATTGTAATGCAGAACATTATAATGTAAAGATTGTAACATATATATTATTTTTTTTCGGACATTAGGTTCATTGTACTAAAAACATAAATATTTTTTCTGTAATGGCAAGCTTGTGCATGAATGTACACGTGGCTCTCATCGAGTTGCTGATCATGATCTCTCTAGACTCGAGAAGAGACTCATCATGACCTGAGATTTTGGATTTGTCACGATCCAAAATCTCAGGTCATGATAAGACTACTCCCACAACTTTTCACTTGTGGGAGATCTTGATATTTATGGTGAAGTTACCATAAATCTAGCAATTTGCAGACATGAATCTTATATGTATTTGCAAATAATGCAAAAAAAAAAATTAGTTATGACTTGTTTCCATGGGTTGTTAGTATTTCCTTAGGATGTATTTGGTATGGAGGAAAACATTTTCCTTAAAAAATATCCTTTTGGAAAATGTTTTCCAAAAGAACAAGAAATTTGGCCAACCAAACAATAGAAAATTGGCTCCATAAATACCAACACCCTATATTTATTTTCTTATTTCCTTTGTGTTTGTCACAAACACCTTTTCTTTTCGAGTTTAACTTGTATACATCAACATGTAATCATGTAAAGGATTTTTCGTTATTAGCTTATAAATCCCACATTTAATAGAGTTACTTGTCATTATCGTTTGCGTGATCTGTTTATATAGAAGAACAGTTACACTATCGATATGCACTAACATGCAACACCACACCTCTTGGGGTGCTAATGCGGGATGTTTTGTACACCAAGCTGCCTTGTATTGCTAAAGAAATGAAGTACAAAGTTTATACAGTTGCGCAAAAGTTTGGGCAAAGTCAAGATTTGTTCTAATATATTACAGAATACTCAACTCTTAGTCATTTATAAAGACAAGAGTCAAGATGCCTTTTTGTTTTTCCACTTACCCTCCAACATGACTCGAACTATCCAGAGTCAAGATGCTTGTGTTTGATCGACGGTTTACATTCATTTTCAATTTCGGAGATGCTCGAGGGAACCCCAACAACTCTGAGATCTTCAAGATTGGCTCTCATCAACACTTTCTGCATCTTCATGAATGACAGTCTTCAGGAGTACAGGTGTAGACGCGAATATAAACTTTACAAAGAACATTTCGATTTTTGAACCGTGGAAATTTTTTATTATCAATCTCTGAAGCTTGTGCAGTACTCCTAGTGTCCTGTAAGCTGGTCCTTCAAAATGATTTACGACGTTCACTTCCATGCCATCTGTCTTCTTCTTCTTCGAGCTCAACACTAAATGAAGGACATCCAAATTCGGAGAAACTCTAAGCATTCGTAGAAGAGAAAATATTTGATCTTCATCATCAAAATCGAACTCAAATAAAGTGATAGCATTCAAGCTGTTGAGAACATAAGGAAGACTGTAAAACATGCTTCAATATGCTGCATATGACTCATTCTTTACCAAAATAATCGCCATGGAGAATGAATCTAAGACAAAGCGCGCAAAGTTACCTAAATAATCCTTAAACAACAAAGGCGGACTTCCGATTCAGTATTTATTAAAATTTTAGTAGTTTTTCACATACTTGTAAACTCTTGAGTCAAGAAATGTTGAGGTCAGTTAACAAGCAGAGCAGAGGCTGCATTCACCACTACTGTTAGACCAATTATCAGCTTACAACAACAACATACCCAGTATATACCCACAAGTGGAGCGCAGACCTTATTTTTAAACTAGAGTAAAAAAATAATAATGTTGGGCTCGTTAACATACAGCACAAAAAGGCTGCATCCAGACCAATTATCAATTTGCAACAACAACGTACCAATGTAATCGTACAAGTGAATCACAAACCTTAACCCTACCTCAAGAGAGTTTGTTACGGAAAGACCATCGATACAAGTAATGCATAATAAAGTTGTTTAAAAAGGAGAATACAACAGTAAATAAGACATATATAGCAACTAAATCTAGCAAATAATAGGAAAAGTGTAACACAACCAAGTAACCTCTTTTAATTAAAATCCTAGCTCCGTCACTAATCCTAACAAGAAACAGATAAATTAAATTCCCTTACTGAAAATCCTGACTCTGCAACTAAAGCTAACAAGAAACATATAAATTAAATTCCCTTACTCAAAATCCTAACAGTGCAACTAAAGCTAACAAGAAACAGATAAATTAAACTCTCTTACTGAAAATCCTAATTCATATTTTATAATAGTATAGTCTTACAGAGAAATAAATTTGTTACGTCGAAATTGACAGTATGTACCATATTGGACCATGACAATTTGATTAAAAACTTCTCTAAGATAAAACAAGGGAAATTACACCAACTGAGAGTCCATAACATTTATTAACCATTTTTATAGCTCAATTTTACAAAATGATCTGAAATACCTCAATTTGAATAAAAAGGTCATATTTGATGCAATCAACACATTAGCCACAGTTTATTGCTACCTAGCCACGACTTTAACCGTGGCTAAATAACGCTATTAAAAAAAACTTTTTCTGCTTTTTTCCCCTTCTTTAATTATTTCACTTTTTGGTGGAAAATGAATATTTATATCTTTTTATTATTTTTGTTTATTTTTTATTTATTAAGGTGAGAATGAATGATAGTTAAATAAATGTTGATACATTAAATAATTATTTATATAATTTGATACACGATTATACACATTTATACATTATTGATATATTATATATACAATACATAATTATTTCAAACATGACGCTTGTTTGGTGGATTTAGGTACGTAATAAAGTTGCGCCTATGCTACTAGCTATAACTTTTGACATGATGGTAAGCACTTGATCCTAGTAAGTGTATCCGAGTCATGATCGTGGGTTTGATTTCCAAGAACAAGAGGCAAACCCATCTCTAAGCTAAACTTAAAATTAAATAAAATCTCGAAGCTAAACTTAAAATAAAAATAATGAAGTGCTTACCATCAGCTATAACTCTTAACATGATGGTAAGCAGTTGATCCTAACAAGTAACAAGTGGTATCAAAGTCAAGATCGTGGGTTTGATTCCCAAGAGCCAGAGGCGAACCATGTCTAAGCTAAACTTAAAATAAAAATAATGAAATAGGTCTCTGTCTAGCTGTATTCGAACCCTAGTGTTGCAGGTAGTTCCTCTAGCTTGTACCAGCGACACAAAAACACTACAATGCTTCCCATGGGTGTACTGTTAATTATCTCCTAGTTTGTATATATATATATATATATATATATATATATATACACATGTTTCTATACAATTTATACGATATTTGATACATATTTATACACGATTTATATAATATTGATACATTGCATATACACTACATAATTATTCATACAATGTAGATACGTTACATAATTATTTATATATCATATATACATATTCATATACCAATTACACAATATTCATACATGTTTATACATTATTTTGCATTTTTTAATTAATTTTTTATACATTATGTATACATCATTGATACATTTCATATACACTACTTAACTGTTAGTTATTAAAAATAAAAATAAAAAACTATTTAGCCATGCTCAAATCGTAGCTAATAAAAAAATAAAATAAATCATGGCTAATAAAAGTTGAAATAACATTATTTAGCCATGATTTAACTGTTACAAATAGCTACATATAAATAACGAATTTGACTATAGTTCATCCTTTCATTTTCTTGACTATAATTTTTACAAACTAATAACTTTTTGCTACATATTTGAAATTATCCCATTAAACAATTCGAACCAAACAAGTGAACAATGTACCATTCGAATTATTCGCCCCAAAGTTGGGAATATATTTTTGAACTCCACATAATACAACTTTTATATATATAAAAAAAGTGAAAAAGGCAATTTGAATACCCCTCATTTAATTTCCTTTTCGATATATTTTCATTTCTTTCAATTTATGTGATATATTTTTAATTATGAGATTTAAGTAATTAATTTTATATTTAAAATTATAATTATTGTGACTTATAATACTTTATATATAATAAATAAATGAACAAACAACACCAATTTCATTAGTTTAAAGCGTAATTATATGCCTTCACATTTACTTCGCCATATACAAGTGGATCAAATTAGATGTGATTTATTTTATATACAATAAATTCAAGCATGATTCACATATATTTGAGATGTACTAACTATCTCGTTCATCTCTCTCCTATTTGTTCACTTCTCTCCTCTCTCTCTTGCCTTTTGTCCTCTCTCCCCGCCTCTCGTCCTCTCTCCCCATGCACACACACACACATATATATAGAGAGAGATTTTTCAATCTATAAGTATTGTGATCACACATATCTGTATACACATACTCTCTCGTTTGTCTCTTTTCTCTATCGTTCGCCTCACTTTCCTATGTATTTATATTTCAGAATGTATTTGATATCAAACATGTATTTATCTAGTATCTTTGATGCACATATTTGACTTGCAATTTGAATAAATGATATCATTGACTTGAAATCTGATACAAAATTATTAATTTATGAGATAGTAGGTAGATATTGCTTACTGAATTGATTGATATTTATGATAGAAAAACTCATGTAGTTATGTTATTTTTTCAATATTTTATATTTTACGGGAGCAATAATTAAAATTATTTTTTTTGACTCTCGAAATTCAAACTCGGAATAAACCGAGTGGAAGTGGTCAGATTCACTCACACTACAGCAATCGCCCATCGGCACCTCTGCAGATAAAAAAGTCTCTCTACTCATTTTCACTAACCCTAGCATTCTCTCTTCCTCTCTCTACACCTCACCTTTCTCTCTCAATAGACCAAACCCTATCAACGCCATGGCGTCACGGAGGCTTATGGCCTCTCTCCTCCGATCAACTGCCCAGCGCGGCGGCGCTATTTCCAGATCTCCATTGGCAAATTCCATCCCCAAAACTACTTCACGCGCCTCCCCAGCGGGATTCCTCTTAAATCGTGCTGTTAAGTACGCTACCTCAGCTGCTCCGGCTGATAAGTCAGCGACACCTCCTAAATCCTCTGGTAATGAGCCTTCCGGTAAGATCACCGATGAGTTCACTGGCGCTGGTTCGGTCGGGAAAGTGTGCCAGGTTATTGGTGCTGTCGTGGATGTGAGATTCGATGAAGGTTTGCCTCCGATCCTTACTGCTCTTGAGGTTCTGGATAACCAGATCCGTCTTGTGCTTGAGGTTGCTCAGCATTTGGGTGAGAATATGGTTAGGACTATTGCTATGGATGGTACTGAAGGTCTTGTGCGTGGTCAACGCGTCCTTAACACTGGGTCTCCTATCACTGTGAGTAATCTGAAATTGTTTATTTTCAGTCTATTATATTCAAAGATATTAGCTTTACTGGTTTAGAACTTCCATTCATTTCTTTGTTTAATATTGTAGTCAATAGCGTTGGAATTCAGGAGTTTAGAAATTTGAGAGTGATCTATTTAATGTGTTTTCTAGGAAATGATATTATTTGATAGTTCTACAAGATCTGTGGTTTTATTATGCTTTAATGAAATGTTTTGTTGATCTAGATATTTGGGTTGGTCAATCAATCATAGCACCATTATATTCATATAAATTGCAGGTTGTTGAAGCTGTAAATCTGTAACTATAGCAGGGTCAATTGCATGTAGGCTTGCTTATGATTATCCAAGTAGTAAATAACATTTCTTTGCTCCTGAATGGTAGTACATATGTTTGATTGCGGTAGTTTGGATCCTAATGTGTGGGAAAATATTGGTTTTCCTAGTAAAACCTGTATTTTTCCCTGCAAGGTACCTTTGGTGCTTTAAATGGGCCTCTATTGGTTTGTGGATTTGCTCATCTTTATTCACAATCAAATGAGATACTGTAGAGTGCTTCAATTGATACCCGAATTTACCACTGCATTACTGGAAGAAATTCATGTTGTTTTGTGAGATGTGAATTTTTTTTAATTATTCCACTTATTTTCTCCCAATTGAATGGTAAAAAACTCCTGCTCTGCAACTCAATTTTTCCTCCTAACATTGATGTTCTCGAAAATTGTTTTGTTTTGTCCCCCCTCTTCCTCTGGGGAACACAGTCACGTGTGGGTTCAGTCTTAAATTTTTTGTTGTCTTCTGTTTTCACCCTTAATGAAAACTAATTGAATAGTAGCTGTATAGCTGACCCAGCTAATTTGGGTTGAGGTGCAGTAGTTGATGTTTCGTCTCAGTTGTTATCCTGCTTTCAGTGGGAATATGGGTTGTAGATCCATTTGCCATTCACTTACTACTTTTTTTTGCGCTGAACTGATGGTTTCATTGTGATGGCAGGTCCCTGTTGGTAGGTCCACCCTTGGCCGTATTATGAATGTCATTGGAGAGCCTATTGATGAGAGAGGCGACATTAGTAAGTCCTAAATACTTTATCCCTTGTTTTATTTGTTCTGTGTGAAGAGTTCTGAAAGTTATATCTCTATCTCTGAAAATCGCTGCAGCAACCGATCACTTCTTGCCAATTCATCGTGAAGCTCCTGCCTTTGTTGAGCAGGCAACTGAACAAGAAATTCTTGTTACTGGTATCAAGGTATGCTAATCAAACAATTTTATTCAATGTTCTCGTATGTATCTCCCTTTCTGAGCATATATTGGTTCCTGAAGTGTAATTTCTACTCAACGTTATGACAATGCCAATTTCATTATGGCTGCTTAACTTCTAACCAGGTTGTTGATCTTCTTGCCCCTTACCAAAGGGGAGGAAAGATTGGGCTTTTTGGTGGTGCTGGTGTGGGAAAGACCGTGCTTATTATGGAACTGATTAACAACGTTGCAAAGGCACATGGTTAGTGCTGCTTATGGGTTTTCTTATTATTTCACATGTAAGTCAGTGTGAAACTTATCTGAATGAGTCTCAACTTTTTCAGGTGGTTTCTCCGTCTTTGCTGGTGTTGGTGAACGCACTCGTGAGGGCAACGATTTGTACAGGGAAATGATTGAAAGTGGTGTTATTAAGCTTGGTGAAAAGCAAGTAAGTGTTCTATTTAGTCAGAATTAATTGCTATACCCCTTTAGTCCACAGTGTTGTCCCCTGTTGTTGACATTTTGTCTTATTGGATTGATTAGAGTGAAAGCAAGTGCGCTCTTGTATATGGTCAAATGAATGAGCCCCCTGGTGCTCGTGCCCGTGTTGGCCTTACAGGATTGACTGTGGCTGAGCACTTCAGAGATGCTGAGGGGCAGGATGTGCTTCTCTTTATTGACAACATTTTCAGATTTACCCAGGTTGGCTTACCTATGACTGCTAAAGTTCTCTTATTTTATACCACTCTACCGTTGCTTACTAGTTGCTTTTGTATCAATACAGGCTAACTCAGAGGTCTCTGCTTTGCTTGGTCGTATCCCATCTGCTGTCGGTTATCAACCAACTTTGGCTACAGATCTTGGAGGTCTTCAAGAGCGTATCACTACAACCAAGAAAGGTTCTATTACATCTGTCCAGGCTATCTATGTGCCTGCTGATGACTTGACAGATCCTGCCCCTGCAACTACCTTTGCTCACTTGGATGCCACAACTGTGTTGTCCCGTCAAGTATGATGCTGTTTCTTAACTTGAACTATAACTTTATTTTTCGTCCCTAGTAAAATGCAGTTACAATTTTCTGACTTCGCGTATTTTGGATACCAGATTTCTGAGCTTGGTATTTATCCTGCTGTTGATCCACTTGATTCTACATCTCGTATGCTCTCACCTCACATTTTGGGAGAAGATCATTACAATACTGCTCGTGGGGTACAGAAAGTTCTTCAAAACTACAAGAATCTTCAAGATATTATTGCCATTTTGGGTATGGATGAGCTGAGTGAAGATGATAAGATGACTGTTGCCCGTGCACGTAAGATCCAGAGATTCCTCAGTCAGCCTTTCCATGTTGCCGAAGTTTTCACAGGTGCTCCTGGAAAATATGTTGACTTGAAGGAGAGCATTAACAGTTTCCAGGTAACGAATCTCAATTTGGAATCTTGTTGTAAGATACTGTGGTTGGTTAGAAAAGCATCCTATACTTGCTTAGGTTACCATGGAAACACTTTTTGTTTTACTACACCTTTTGTTACACGTTATTCCTGGTATTGTATAGCCCACCTTCTCAGCAGGTTGTAGTGATGCTTTATGAATTAAATGTTGCTATATGATTTTTTCTTCCTCCCCATTATTTGGTGAAGTGTATCTGAGATGATAACATCCTGCTATGTTGTGCATATTCAGGCACCAATTTGCTGATTATTTCGTTTTGTAATTGACTTTTGCAGGGAGTCCTGGATGGGAAATACGATGACCTTTCAGAACAATCATTCTATATGGTCGGTGGAATCGAGGAGGTCATTGCCAAGGCAGAGAAGATTGCCAAGGAATCTGCAGCTTAGATTATTAACTCCAGCAACTTTCTTTCATTATCTTCATCGATAACTACAGAAATAATTTAAGTTTCTGTGACACTTGGATTTTTTCCTGGGAGGACTAAGGGGTCCAAGATTTTCTGGTTTTTGTTTTTATATGCAATCCGGAATTGTGATAGAGAAGACATGGAGCTAAGGCTTACTTGCCAAACACCCACCCTTGACTCTCTGTTATGTCGCATAATAAAGGGGGTAAAACGGCAAACTTGTATATTTTACTTTGAATTCATCTTGAGAATGTTGGTTGCCCAAATTATGAGGGGTTGTCTTTTCATTACTTTCGTCTTGAATACTTTCTGGTTTCCAGTTTTTTGCCTGTCGTAATAATGTTTATCTTCTCTAGTCTTTTAGTCGTCATGGTGGTATATTCCCAGTAAATGGATCAATATTCATGTCGAATAGTGAATACTGGTCTCAAAATTGCTCTTTTGCTGACCATTCTTGAGAGATAATGTCGAGGACTTTCTATTGGTAGACTATGCATGCTCAATTGACTGAGTTTTAACTCTGGTCGTATATGTATCCTATCTAAATAGAAACCAAACGCCGACTAGAGTGGTTTTGACAATAATTTAAAGCTACCTTCTACTTGTACTTACTTAGGGTCATGATACTACTACAATGATAATATACTTGATACGTAGATCTTACTCCTATCTTATGAGATAGAGTTTTCGTACGTAGATCTTACCTCCTATTTTATGAGATAGAGTTCTTGATAGATCCTTGAAGATGTAATTCTCAATACCCCCATCTTACGAAATAGAGTTTTCGATAGATCCTTGAAGATGTAATTCTCAATACCCCATCTTACGAAATAGAGTTTTCAATAGATCTTTGAAAATGTAATTCTCAACTATCTACTAAGATTATACATACCCTTGATAACTTAAAAGAAAAGTCATGGCTTGTACCTTTTCGATCTATTTTTATCTTTCTCAAATAACATTGCCAACCTTTCACACTTCCGCATTATACATCTTGTGCTAAAGAGATATTTCCCCCCTATTGGACATATATTTGATGTAGTAGATTTCATTTTCCTCTACCTTATCATGAAGTAACACGTGTAAACTACCAATTTATTTTGATTTAAAAATAAGATTCCCACGCCGCCGTATTCTCTTGCCTCTCCACCCTTCTCGGCGGCGCTTTCTAGTTTCTACGATTCTTCCTTCTCACCATATAATTGAAAAAAAATGTCAATCCTTTCTCTCTCCCTTTCTCCATTTCCAAATCCATCTCTCTCCCATCTCAGTTCCCATGCTCCCTCCCGTATCCAATCACTCCACCCTTCTTCATCCATGAGCCTCCTCAAACCGCTCCACCACCATCTCCGTCGCCGTCTCTCCATCTCCGCCGCCGCAGCCGTCCGTCAAGACACTAATCTCTGGACAACCGCACCTCTCGTCACCGTTTCACCTGCCGCTGAATCTCTCTTCCACGTCACCATCGACGTGTCCGATTACCCTGACCTAGCTACCTCACACACCAAGGCAGGTCAGTATCTTCAGCTTCGGATTCCTGACGTTGAGAAACCGTCGTTTTTAGCGATTGCATCGCCGCCTTCGCTTGCTGCAGCAAAAGGTTTATTTGAGTTCCTTGTGAAAAGTATCTCTGGCTCTACGGCGGAGCTACTATGTGGATTGCAGAAAGGTGATGTTGTGGAGCTGAGTCAGGTTATGGGGAAAGGATTTGATTTGGATCAAATCTCTCCTGCGGAAGAGTGTCAGACGGTCGTGATTTTCGCTACGGGATCTGGAATCAGGTAAACTATGACTCGATCGGAAACATAAAATTTAAGCTTGATTCTGTACTACTTTCCAAAATGATTTTCTATTCTGTAGTTTCGTTTGTGCTGGAGTATAGAGGAGTATTTTCGTTTTGTGTTGAGCTTTTGAGATTGTTTGATAGATTTGGTTCAGCGATAAGCTAATATATTCCAGAGTGAGTTTAAATTGAGATGAATGATTTATGGAATAGTTTTTCTCTGTAAGAACCTCTTTTTATGGTTGATGAGATTATATGGTTAAACTTTTGAAGTCAATTGCATATTCAGTAAGCTGTAAATGAGCTTGGATTGTAGGAAAACTACTTGAAAAATCTACTAGCTAAGCCTATCGTTAATATGTTCTGCAAACTCAACTTATATCATAGTTGTTAGATGCTCTTGCATTTTTCCCTAGTGTAGAGGTGTGAGATGCCGCTTTGACTTTAGATCACATTTCAGTGTTCTTTTGTAGTAGTTTTTTCTAAGTTCTTTTCTAGTTAGCTTCAGTAAGCTGGTTAGAACTTTAGCAACCAATCACTAATCATCATTTGAATGTGATCTTGTGAGTACATAGCTGATTCTATCAAGTTGAAGTTCACCAATGCTAAAAGCTGCAATTTTCAATAGAAGGATCGTTGGGTTGTAGATGTGATCTATTACATAGCTGCAAGCCTACTTCTCCTAATGTGAATGGTTGAACTTTGCATCATGCAGTTTCATCCTTTTCATATTAATATTTGTGTTGGTGAAAGGACGGAAAATATGTTGAGGTTTCACGTTTCTCTTTGTATTAGTTTGGTTTTTCTTTCGCCTGTTGCTCATTCCTTGATCTCAAATCTATTTTTGGCAGCCCAATTAGATCCCTGATTGAGGCAGGGTTTGGTGCAGACAAGAGATCTGATGTTCGGCTATATTATGGTGCACGTAATTTGAAGAGAATGGCATATCAGGTTTGTTGTTTGCTTGCAACATGTAAACAAATTCTTTCTTCATTGTGGCAGAAATACAAGATAAACTTTGTACCTGTTGTCTGATTTCTCTGCCCTTCAACTTTTACAGGATAGGTTTGAAAACTGGGCATCCTCTGGGGTTAAGGTTGTGCCAGTGTTGTCTCAGCCTGATGATGCTTGGACAGGTGAAGATGGCTATGTTCAGGTAATGATTATGTTTACATTGGTATCCTCTTATCATCTTATTTTGGTTTTCTTTGTTACTCAACAATAATGGTTGTTTTACCATCTGCTTTTGCAGGCAGCATTTGCCCGAGCTAAAAACATTTTTAATCCTCAATCCACTGGAGCAGTCCTCTGTGGTCAAAAGCAAATGGCTGAGGTTTGTAGTTTGTTTACTTCAGAAGATTTGCTGTTCCTATCTTGTGTCTTTCCTTGCTCTTTCTGTATTTTGGAGATGCCAATGGTCTCTCTTATTTTGCACTTTGTTTTTGTTTCACTGCTACTTGACCCCTCACCATTTACTTTTCATCTATGAATCAAGAGAGCTGAGATTTTGTGTGAGAATGGTAGAACAGTATTATAAATATAAGATGCCTGGACAAGCTGTATGGTGACCCAGACCTAAAGTGATTACAATAGGAAGATATAAAAGCTTTCTATATGTAATCTAGAACATCAAGAGCTGAGATTCGATCCCATGAATCGTAGAGCAAAAATTAATGTTTGCTTTAAGTCAGTTAAACAGCAGATGAGCATTAGGAAAGCTGATAATTTTGACATTATGGTGCATTAATTAGATCACTACTGCTAAAATAACTCTGCCCAACAGTAACCCTGACCTAGGGATTCGCAACTCCAAAGATATTAATCTTATAGACATCCAATGGATGGGAAAATTTTGATGTTGTAGAATATATTATTAAAAGATGATTAAGAAGGCAAACAGAAGAAGTGATTCTCATCGGTTAATGTGACAATTTGGTGTGGTAGAAGTACTTAATACTTAACGATGACTTTGCCAAACAACATGCTTTCTGAACTTATAAAGTTGGCTGGTTGTAAATCCTATATGGTGTACTACCAATGCTGTCTCTTGTAAGGAAAGTAATGAAAACAATGCACAATGATCTATCCTTCATTAAACTGTTAACTTCCATAAACACTTTGTGGGTTTACACAATCCATGAGATGCTTTTTGGTAGTTTCTGTAAAAGTTACTGCTTTTCTTCATTAATTTAGTGTTCTTCATTTGTTGTGATTCTCATTGTGTTTTACCTCATATTCGGACTATTAATGAAACAAGTAACCACCCTTAGGGGCGACTGAGTTGGTTGAGTAGGGGGTTTTAAGTTCAAAACCTCTTGCATGCTTTCTCGGTCGAGCTCATCGCATGGGGCTTGCCTAGTGCGGTACATCTCTTTGTGATTTGCTAGCTATTATGCTAGACCGGAGTTCACCCGGTGTGCACTTGAAAGGTAGCGTGCAGATTCCCTTGTCATGAAAATAATAGTAGTAGTCAATAACTTACGAAGAAGAACTTGAAAAGAAAACATTAATTTTGATTGAATAAGAGCTCTAATATGAATTGAGTTCTGCTATAGAAAATTATGAGTTATGAGCTAAGTTGCGCGGACTCTTCTCTTTCGATGCTGCACCTGTATCGGATTCTCCAAGAATAGACTACTTTTGGGGATCCAACATGCACCCGTTGATATTTTTGAAGAGTCTGAGCAACATATGTTTTAGGATGATAAAATTTGACAAAAGACTTGCTTGGATGTATTTCTATAAAATAGGAGTGTAGAACATAGTGGTTAGATTCCGTTTGTCCATTGATTAAGGTGCTTAGTTTGGAAGTCTTGGTGTTTGTATGGGATTCGGCCCATGGGATTTTAACTTTCATTAAGAAAGGTCTACTTCGTAACTTGCTTTAGCAAGTGCATTTTTGCTAAGTGTATATATAGTTTTGGATTGGCACGACCGGTAGATAAATGCGACTCGTTCCTCCAACTGAAAGTAGGAATAAGAATATCACTTGGATACATTGATTTAATTCATTCACAATATAATTCTGCTTGAAAGGAAGAAGAATAACAAACTTCCCTAGTTTCCTGCCGCATATTTGGAAAAACACAAGCAAGTCATTATCTGCATAAGCCAGCAGCTCCAGCATCCCCCTTAAGTGCAAAGAATTTTAGGTAACCTAAAAAAGAGGAATGCAATTCTGCAGGCAGCTTATTTTCATCGAACATTTTCAGTTAAAACTTGTGACTTGTTCCTCTAACTGCGAGTTGATTTAGTTTGTGACTGAAAATATTAAAACAACACTTATTTTGATGTAGAATTTCTGCAACTTTCACTGTTTAATGGATGATATCCAAACTGGTAAAAACAGAGCGTGAGAATCCATAAGCCGGTTATTGTTGTAACATGTTACCTACTTATTGTGAACTGCTTTATTATTTAGGAAGGAGTATTTTCTGTAACTTTTCTTGCCAATCAGTATAATTGTGAAGAACCTGCCTGTTGTTGAAGGGGTTCAATATTCTTGGTTTATGAGTGCCATGTACTATTTATTACTAGAC